GACTTTCGGGTTCTGCATGATGTTGAGGAGGGCAACGGTTGTTGTTGCGAGAGTCTTCAAAGGGGGTTCAGTTTCATGTCGAGAGGAGGTCAGGAGCGAATATACATACCGTGTTCGAACCTGCAATGAAGACAGACCCAGAAGCGCCCTGGATGTCTTGCATGGTGAAGTGGTTGGGGATGCCGGCTTCAACGCAAAGGATGCGTTCGCTGTTCCCTCTTCCTGTGGTCGCAATCAGGTCAGTTCTGCAAAAATGACATTCAGGGCTGGGAACGCTCACATATTCCTTCTTGATCGCCGTGAAGGGAATGTCGTGCAGGTTCTTGATGGCCCACCGCCATGCCCTTGCGTGCTTGAGGGTTGTGGAGAAGTTCAGAAGCTCGGGAATGAACCGGAATGCCCCTTTCGCCGTGGCCAAGTTTGCATGCTTTGCAATCTTGATGTACGGATCATCGTTCGACTTGACGGTAACACCGAAGCCAATTCTGAGCACGACGTAGTGCGTGGAAAAACCCACGGGTACCCAAAACCCATGGATTTTGGTGGGTACCCATGGCCACCCATGGGTCTTGGGGTTTTACCAGACAGGGGTCTCAACAACTAGTGGTAATCAGTGTGGTAGTTAACGAATGGTTATTAATCATACAGTTACTATAATACATTAAACAGAACGCTTTCAGCACGTGTGTATTAACTAATATCATCCCTTGAAGCCGAAGCGGCCGGTTGTGGCAGTGCCATATTGTCGAAGTCTATTAGAAGCTCGGAGTTGTATCCCAATAACGCACCGCCAGGTGTAGGCGTTTCCTCATGCCCTAGGCGAGGGACAGTTTGTGGGAAAACACAACACTCACGTGTAGAAAAATTCACCCATAGGCACCCAGGGGTGACAAAACCCATGGGTTTTGTGGGTAAACCTTAAAATACCATAGGTTTTATGGGTTTACCCACAGACCCCATGGGTGCCCGTGGGTGTCCATGGGTGGGTTTTTCCACGCACTAGGTGCCGAAGCCGAGTTTTTTGGTGCGAGAGGGGTCGCCGCATTCAGCGGCGTAGGGGGGGTAGTGGGATGGGTTGAGGGCCATGGTGTTGTCTTGGTGATGTTTGCTGAATATAGACCAATGAAGGCCTGAGCTGTACTGCATCTAAGTTTTTGCAGCTTCACCAATGTTGTTGTTGTGTTTGCCTTTGGTAGATGAGTTGCAGGTTCAAATTTGGTTTGCTTGGCTTGGGCGATGCAGATGCTTGTTCAAAGTCGAATATAGCGCTTGATTAGGTTAACGTTGTCGTTCCTGGCCGGACTAATTTGCGGGGGAGTCAAGAAAAGCCGGGTGCGGTGCCGTAGTCCGGGGCCGGATTGCTATCGTATTCGCCGGGGTTTGCCAAGCCCCTATTACATGCAACGGTTTGTTTTGGTTGGCTCAGGGGTCCGGCCCGGCACGATTGCGATAACGACGCACTAGTGCTGCCGGACCGGTATTTCGGCAGTTTTATCTGATTATCTCCGGGAATTGGTCACGATAAGGAGCCGGTATGAGGAAGCACACCATCAAATTAGGAGATAGGTTGAGCAATTGATTCCGATAGTTTACCAACCCAATTCAAGCCCTGGTCCAATCAGTCTGACTGCCCCAGTACAGGGACCGTCTCCCTGTCGTAGCTGGTGCCGATGGCGCGAGACAGGGCATTACAGGCGTCATGCGTCAACTGCTTTCCGGTGGGAAGGACGCTGTATACGCCATTAGCATGTTGTCATTGAAGAGTTGCCCAGAGAGGAAAACATACCCAGCTAGAACGAGCACAGAATGCGTCGCACCCTTGTACACCTTGCTCTCTGTCTTGACCCCCTGTGACTTGAGTAGTTCTCCGTAGGAGATATCTTCAGGCGCCAGGAGATCGCATTCTGCAATGCCAATGAACGTATCAGGGCTTTTGGCCAGGAGCTCAGCTGGAGCATAGCAAGGCGACGCATGCCAGTGTCGTCGATCCGCCTCGTAGTTTTCTGATTGGAAATAGCGATCGCGATACCAGCTCATCCTCCCCGGGCTGAGAAACGGCGAGTGCCGAGAGGACGACCAAGCTGACTCGGTGGTGGCGAGGTTGTCGATGACGGGACAGATAAGAAGTTGAAACAAAAGCTTTGGCGATGTCCCGAGTTCCGCATGTCTGAGACCAACGCTCGCGGCAAGTCCGCCTCCGCTTGTGACATTCCGTTAGCAGGACGTCCAAGAGAGTAAGGTAGCTGCTACTCACGCCGATAACCCACCGATGCCCATGCGCGAGACATCAATATTCAAAACCTTGGAATTCTCCGGTGCGAGAACCCACTGAAGGCCATCAAACGAATCGTTGATGGCGGTAGGATACGCATGCTCAGGGGCATGCCGGTAGTTGACCGATACAACAACGCATTGGACATCTGGCTGCATTAGCTTCACTCCCAGCATGAATTTTGTGGCTCACACTACATTTGCACACATGCGTCAGGAAAGCGTTCTCGCTCTGCAGACCCCCGTTCACCCATCCACCGCCGTGGTACCACACGAGACAAGGCCAGCCCTTTTCGGGGGAAGTTCCACTCGGCGCAAACACCCTGATCTGGAAGTTGTCGACCTGTTTGTCGAACGTGCTTCCGACATCGACTAGCTTCGGTGCGCAATGTGCGACGGGTGACGGCTTGCTGCGAGAAGCGGGATCCCATTCTTGGGCTTCGGTTGGGAGCACATACTGCAGGATGCTGTCGTGCACTGTGACATATTCCGGTTCAAGAATGTCTCGAATCGACGGGTGCAGGGGTTGGTGGGCGATTTTGTCCATGGTGATGTTGGCAAGTGACGCTTGGGCTGGTTTGGGTTGTCTGCGGGATGCAGCGCCGAGGATGCTAGAGGCGGGCATAAATAGAAGGAACCGGCCCGGAGTGATAGGTGGTCCAGCCGCTAGGAATTGCCCCGTCCCGGCAAGTGGGAATGGAGAACCGGTTGTGGGTACTTAGATTCCACCCCGTCACCGATTTACAGAGCTGGCAGTCGAGAAAACAGCAAACAAGGTTTCCATCATAATTTCACCTCATCTGGTGACACAAAACACTACGGCGACAAGCCAGTAACAGTGCAAACCATCATTCTCAAGATCAAACACTCCAGGAGCAGCTACGTTATCTCGTTCTACCAAGAATAGGGGAAGGGGGATCTAAACACACCATCGGCCGAAACCCATTGCACACAGCATCCATCGCCGTAGCTCGCACGCACCCGCTCGTGCTAACACCGCAGATCACCAACGTATCAACATTGAGCAGCCGCAGCTCGGTTGACAGCGTCGTCCCAAAGAACGCTGAAGGATTCCGCTTCAGCACCAAGACATCCTCGGGCTGCGGTTCCAGACCCGGCATGAGCGCGTCCAGCCCCCGCGTGTCCCCATCCTGCCAAGCAAGAATAGTTTTGGTCTTTTTGGCCTGCACTCCGCCATCCAACATCTGGGGATGGTTGTAGCGGACCTGCGCCCAAACGACTGGGGCGTTGCCTCGCCTGGCCGATTCCACCAGCCGTCGCATCGAATCCGGGCTAGCAGCGCCTTCGGGATTGTGAGACAAGTCAAGCGGAGACCCTTGCTTCCAGTAGGCTGCGCAGACGATCCCCCCTGAGCCCCTGAAAGTCAAGCTCGCCAAGATCGACCGGGCTGGCATTGTGCTGAGCTCCTCAGGCACAACCCTCCTCTTGACTCCCCTGTCCGGAATCGGCACACAGTTCAAGTCGAACGACCCCATGGTAATCGCCATGTTCACGCTGGGCTCAGTCCTCCTTACTCTGTTCGGCATCAACGAGTGGAAGTTCGCGAGGCTTCCTATGTTCCCCTGTAAGTTAGCCCCTGTCTTTTTGCACCACCAACGGATGCTAACCCACAGAAACAGTCCGACTCTTCAAGAATCCCGCTCTTGCGGCCATGCTGATACAGAACTTCCTCATCGGCATCGTCTTTTACAGTCTTGTGTACATCCTCCCCGTCGCAGCTGCACTGATCGTTCCGATTGTCATGCCGCAAGCCATTGCGTCAGCGCTGTCGGGCCAGTACATCTCGAGGATGGGACGCTACGGCGAGGTCATCTGGACGGGATATATCCTTTGGGTCATTGGAACAGGCTTGCACATTGCCTTTTCCCGGATGTTCCCACTGGCAGCCATCATCGTGATCCTAGTCGTGGAGGGTTTCGGTGTGGGTTTGGTGTTCCAGCCGAGTACGTGAACTGCATTGCTTTTGATGCCGGGGAAAACACTGACGGTTATTTAGCTCTTGTGGCGGCACAGGCACACAGCCCGAAGCAGGACCGCGCCGTGGTCATCAGCGCTCGCAATTTTATCCGGTCTTTGGGAGGCGCCGCGGGCCTGGCGATCGCGTCCGCCACTTTCTCCAACACCATTGTCAACCAAATGCCAAAGGGCATTCCGGATCAGCTAGCGCATAGGATACGCGAAGCCGTGTTCGAGGTGCCCGATTTGGCCGGCTTGACTGGGGGAGAGAAGGATTTGGTGCTGGATTTGTACGCTCGAGCGGCAAAGTCTGTCTTCTACCTCTGGTTCGGTGCGATGGCGGTGTGCTTGGGGTTGATGGTCTTCATCAAAGACCGCGGTTTGAGAAGGAACGAGGAAGCGGGGCAGAAAGAGTCAGGCGCAAGCAGCGTCGTTGACAGCGGGGAGTCGAGAAATGCAGTCAAGGTGGAAGGTGCGACGGAGGCAGCGGGGAAGGCAGAAAAGTCTTGATGGAATTTCGTTTCGCACTCTTGGCATAATTTGAAGAGAATCTAACTGCACCCAGTGGGTTTTTGTCCAATGTCCCGGGCTCTGAGAGATTTCTCATTCTTGCATTCTGCTACTCAAGTGTAAACATTAAGCCCCTGAACGATGAGCGACGTTCTCCCCGTCTCCACGCCCACCCCACACCATACACTCCGGTTTGACAAAGCGAATTTCGAAGCCCCGTCAACATCACAACAACATGACTCGGTTTCGTGGTCTAGAGGTATGATTCTCGCTTAGGGTAACTCCCTGAGTCAAACTTGCGAGAGGTCCCGGGTTCAATCCCCGACGAAACCCTGTGAACATTCAAGAGCTTCTGATGATCAGGAGATTCATCCATTTTTGCCTCTGGAGGTTGGGGAGAGATGGTTTTCGGTGTTGCTGGGTCTCAGAAATTCCGAATGTTGCCCCTGAAGGGAAGAATCGGGATGCCTTGTCAAATTTTCGATGAACTGTCATGTCGCCTTTTCGATCGGCCAGAATCGATCGCTTTCCATTCCATGCGAGGTGCATGTAGCCATGTAGGTATGCGGTGACGGGAAGCCGTCCGTAGAAGGTTCTCCTGTAGAGTTGTATTCAGCGGTGCCAAGACCACTCCACATTTGCAGATACGAGCCTCATCCAGGTTTCCCCTCGGATCTGCATCACTGCGGAGATCTCAACGGCAGCTGCGGCTAGCAGTGGGGTTGGCCAGTGGTATAAGCCGGAAGGACTGCACCCCGGTGAGAAAAAAGATTGAACGGGATGGGAATGTGGTAGGACAACATGGCCGACAGGATGCAGCTCTCGATTACCGTTACACAGTGCACTTTAAGCCAAGTTATCATTCCACTTGCATCAGCCTGATTGACGCCACCGCTGACATTGTTTCTCGCTTCACGAGAGACAACTGCTGGGCCGCTGGAACGTTGCCAGCAACCCGGAGTCCTTCGCAACGTCAGGCAATTTATATTAAGGCTGTGCTTTGTAACCGGTCCAGAACAAGCTCGGATCAGCTCAGCTCGGGTCCTATACTGCGTAGGGCGCGGTCCCGGCACCCGATTGCCGCTTTTCACTGGGTCCCAAAGACTGGCGTCGGTGGAGTGTAACACTGCGGCACGACCCTCCTCGCCCTAGGGCACAAATTCCCCGCAATATTCGTGCAAATACGACAATTGAGCTGTGGGTGTCGCCGGGTCAGCTGTCAGCCTAATATGGACATGGCCAGCTCACATGACCGTCGTGCGTCCTCTTCGTATCACAGCGAGCGACCCAGAGGCGCATTGCACCCTCAGCGCCCAATGCTCCCGTCTCTCTCATCGTATTCACTGTCGGGCCGTTGAGTTGACTTGGTCCATGGAAGGAGCGAACCGCCCGATCCGACCTCAAGCCACTCCCGCGCCCCCTGCTATTTTGAGAAGCACAACAGAGCGTATTGCAACGTCTGTCAGGCAACGGCTTCGGCCATGATCATAGCACTTCAGTTTCTACCTAGTACCTAGGTAAGGTATCTCGAAGCACGTATATAAACCCACTTCACATCTCCCCCTCGCCTCTTCTCATCCCTACTCATCACCACACTCACTCATCTACCTACCAACCTTACACTCGCTTCAAACCCCAAACACCCCACCAACACCCCAACCCACCAAACAAACCTCAAAATGGTCTCCAACACCCTCCTCCTCACCCTCGCCGCGGCCCTCACCCCCCTCGCCTCCGCCGCCGGCTCCGCCCGCGTCATCAACCACTGCCCCACCTCCGTAACCCTCTGGTCCGTCGGCGCCTCCGTCTCCCCCCCCTTCACCCTCGCCGCCAACACCGGCACCTACGCGGAGCCGTACGTCCGCGACCCCGTCACGGGCGGCAAGGCCCTCAAGATCACCAAGGCCGCCGACGGCCTGTACACGGGCGCGCCGCAGCTCAACTTCGCCTACAGCCTCGACGGCGCGACCATTTGGTATGACTTGAGCTCCGTGTTCGGGGATGTGTTCCCCGGGCGGAAGCTGGTCGTGGCGAGTTTGGATGGGAGCTGCCCGGCGATTACCTGGCCTACGGGGACCAACCCCGGTGGCTCGCAGACGAAGGCTTGCACGTCGAGCAAGGATGTGGCGTTGGTGTTGTGCGCTGAGGGGGAGTGGTAGATGGTTTAGTATGGGAACACAGGATTGGCGAAAGGAGAGAGGAAAACACGAGGATAGGGGTTAATCTTAGTAGTAATCTAATTGTCTGTATGCAAAGTTCTCAGATATCTCAAGTTGTGGTATGTTTAAGAGGCGTATTGTGTTGGAAAGGCCTTGACCGTTATATGGAAACCCGCAAAAACACCCCAAAGGCCCAAAGGGTCACAAGAACGGCCGCTAAGGCCACCCAAGCAAACATTCCACGACGGCAACACTCATCATAAGGTTTGAGAAGGTATATTACCATGACCATAACTAACATACAAGACTCCTCGCCGATATGTAGCGAATGACCATATGAAATCAAATAGAAAAAACCGTGCTAAACATAACAAAGCCAAGCAGGGAAAACGCCAGCGACTGACGCCCCGTCATTACGACCACTCGCCCTTCCTCGGGCCAAAGTACTCGCCCTCCTCGAGCACCAAGCGCACGCAGGATCCGTCAGAGTCACAGCCCTGTCCCAGAACGTCATTGCCCCACCAGGAGAGCTCAATGTCGTTGATCTGGAGCGCAAAGAAGATGACGATGCCCGAGATGGCAATAGCGCACGAAAGAGCAGCCGAGGTGACGAAGTTGTACTGGGCATTTGTTAGTTTCTTGGTAGCAAAGTGAGAAGCGGAGGGAGCAGCATACCTTGGACCAGAGGCCGAGGAACCTCTTCTTGAGGTACAGCCACGAGAAAGCAGCGACGGGCACCGCCGGCCACATGTAGGCCAGGTTGTAGGGAGCCCAGGACAGCGCACCGCCCATCATGACGACCACGTGAGCGTTGCGGATGACGGGGTTCCTGGGCCACTTCAGGCTGAGCAGGTAGAAGACGACAACCAGGAAGACGCCGAGCGGGAAGCCGATGAGCGTCGACACGTACTGCCCGCCGATACCCCAGATCTTGCGGGGACCGACAGTGCCCCAGAAGACGGCGGCCGTGAAGAAGGTGTTGACACCAGGGCAAGTGAAACGGAACGGCGCCGTGGTCGTGCAAATGTCCTTGATGTTGACCTGGTACTGGAGGATACCCACGCTGATGAAGGTCGAGATGAGAGTCGGGACCATCTGGGCCCAGAAGGTGAAGCGCGGCGCGATCTTGAGGTAGTGAGCGAGCTTGAGATCGGCGCTGAACGACAGGGCGTGGGCGCAAGTGACGTAGCCGTAGGACTTGAAGAAGCACATGGCGATGGCGTTGCCCTCAACCCACACGCCTCCGATGAACTCGGCAATGACGTTGAGGGTAACCTGCACGCCCGTCATGGCCGCGATGATGCCGATGGGGACGACGAAGACGAGGCAGAGCGCGATACCGTAGAGGACCACAAAGGGGGTCGTGTTGGTAGGCCAGCACGCGATGCCGACCATGCCGATGGCGACCGAGATGGCCAGCACGATCATGTACCACCACTCGGGCACTTCCTTGTACGACTTCATCAGGCGGTTGTGCACATCCAGGTCGCTCTTCTGCGTGTTCTCGCTGCCCTTGCGGTTCTTGATGTTGCTCCACAGATCCCTGCAGCCCATGGCGATCTCGTGCCTGTGGTAGAGAATGCCGTAGGTGACCGTGGCCGAGTACATGGCGAAGAAGAACATGTAGACGATGATGTTGGCCGCCGACAGGAAGGGGGGCGAGTACTCCTGGTACTTGGCGCTGTCAAAGATGCCGAACTCGTCGATGATGGACTTAACCTTGTACCGCATGCCAAAGTGGTCGAACGTCCGGTTGGAGTTGATGGGGATGTAGCCGGTGCTGAACGCGTTGGTGTAGTAGAGGGCGACGATGACGAACATGGAGAAGAACATGCCGAGGAACAGGTTGAAGGTCGAGAAGAAGGGCACCATGAGGGGATCGCACAAGTAGGTCATGATGTTCCAGTCGAACGTGGGAACCGGGTTCACTCCCAGACCCGTCAGGCCTCCGGTGATGGTAGCCAGGTTGGCGTTGTCGGGCGCAATCCACGCCATCCAGCTGAAGTAGCTGAGAGCGCCGAAGATGTAGTTGGGGAACCAGAAGTAGACAAACATGGCGCCGAACACGACCATGAAGAACTTGAGACGGGACATCCTCCAGACAGACTTGAACGGGCCGGGCACAACAGCCGCCTCGGTGGCCTGGTCGTGGAAAGCCGAGTTAAGCGCGATGGTGACCAAAGACGACGGCCAGACGCAGTATGCCGGGTACACAAGGAAGCGACGGCAGAGGCCAGCAAGACCATATCCAATGAAGTTCGTGCTCAGCGCGATGAGGAGTTGGTATCCGATGCTGATGGCCCACGGCTGATCGAAGTACTGGGGCAGATACTGGATCCAGACGATGTAGTTGGTGTACGGTGTGCTCTTTGCGACATTGGACATGATTGTGATCAACATGTGTTCCTTCTTGTTGAACGGACCGGGATTCAGACTGTGTCGGACGCCAAACAGGGTGAAGCCCTTGTCAGGGAGTACTCTCGCGAGGAACTGTCCGAGTGGGTAGGCCAACAGCTGCGGGACAACAGTGCCGACGTAGATGCTGGGCTGGCGGACATCGAAGAACGAGTTGATGAACGAGATGCAGCACGCAAAGAAGATGCCCATACCCCAAGCGCGGATGGTGGACACCGGCATGTTCGGGTCATCGTGGTTGTCGACGACGGAGCGCACCTCGGCGTAAGGGGAGTTGTTCGTGATGAGGGCGGCTTCGATCTTCATCTCCTGGATCAGCTCCGAGTGCTTCTCCGGGTTCTCAAAAACGTCCTCGTTGTCTACGCGAGCACGGGTTAGCACAAGAAAGCGCAGCCCCTGAACCACAACAATGATACGCACTCAGGAAGTCCTCAATCTTGGCGATGATGGTGATGGGAAAGTTGGGGTCGCGGGCGTGCATCTTGTGGACCTGGGTCATGATGCGCCTCGTGTCTTCGAGCGTGAAGGTCCCGGCGATCTCGTTGGCCTCGGCCAAGTCCTTCTCGGTGGCATTGAGCACCTCGGTGACCTCCCCGATGCCCCGTTCCTCGAACGACAGGATGAGAGGCTGTGTAAGTGGTTAGCACGTGGTCTGAGTCCCGATGATGGCGGCGACGGTAGCATGCATACCGACTTCTTCTCGTCGCCCAGGGCTGCGGCCGAGTCGGCCGAGCCGGGCTTCTTCTCGTTCTCCACTGT